CTGGACTCCAGCAAAGATCAATCTTTTTTAAAAAAAAAAATCTGCTACCACAAATCATCAGTGTTTTGTGTTTTATAACTGAATCAGATTTTGCTTTCTTGTTTATATGGTAAGTGCTTGAAAATGTATGTTTTACAAAGTTGCTTTTTAAAAGATTTCTACTAAGTTGTCTATTATTGATTTAGCATGGAACATTTTATGGGCAGGTGACAGTTGTGCTGGTTATGTACAAAGATAAAAATAAGTTATAAAATCTAGTATCCAGTTCAGAGTTGTGGGATTTCTTTTGTGATTCCCTCTCGTTCTATTGACATTTGACATTTGCTTAGCTGATCACTTTTGACTTTTTCAAAAAAAAAAACCTGAATCACAGCCAATATAGATGAAGTGCTGGGAGATATTTTTATTTATTTATTTATTTATTGAATTTATATTGCCGCCTATTCGCCCCTGGCGACTCGAGGCGGCTTACAGAATGTAAAAGCATATTTAAAACAAACAATTAAAACTAAGCAAAAAGAATCAAATAAATTAATAAAGTACAATAGAACAAAATCTGGAAAAAAAATTACCCCCCATACTCCCACCCCCTGCCCCGACGACAGCAGATCACATCAGCCATTTGATGGGCTCCATCCCGCTCTGGATTCCCCAGGCCCGCTGGCAGAACCAGGTCTTCAGTGCCTTCCGGAAGAGTATTAGATGGGCCATTCTAATCTCTGGGGGAATGATGTTCCAGAGAGAGGGAGCCACTATGGAGAAAGCCCTTCTGGGTCTCACCAGGTGTATCTCCCTCAGGGATGGGACCTGCAGCATTCCCTGCCTCCCCGATCTAAAAAGATAAACTATTGTTTTATAATAAATTACATTTTTGGTTTATGCCACTAAACTTTTCATTACTTTGATTAACTGCAGCCCTTCAGTCTTAGGTCTTTTCCTACTACAATAAGACATTTAAGACTCTAAGCCTTAGAGTCTAAGGCATCTAAGACACTTCTTAGCAATATCTTTTTGTTTCTCTTTTTCCCCCCCATGATGCTGCCTTCATCTCATCTCCAAGTACCTTAAAACCTTCAAACCATTCTTAGCAATTGTTCCAGTATTAATTTACTGTTTTTCCTTCAAGCAAGCAAACTATGGCAGTTTTTCTATGGGTGCAATCTGATATCCTTCATTTGATTGATGTCAAAGTCAGGTGAATGCTAATAGGTTGGGATATGCAGTTTAGGCTAATGCTGGCACTCTTTCAGTTCCTGGGCACTCTTTTACAGAGACTTCAGTTATCAGCTTAAAATCTCTGGAGTAGCTACAAAGCAACTAGACTGAAGCAGTGGTAGTGGGCTGCATTGGCAAGTGAGTAAGACAAATGTCCCCCAGTTTCATTTCAGTCAAAGTTCCAGTGACTTTTAGCTTTTCAGTATGGGTTTAGCTCTTTTGTTACAACATTAAAACCATTCCCAAATGTCACCTAGTAGCCAGGTTGGTTTTAGTCATGAGTTAAATATTGTTCCAGAAGGTCACCTTAGTGCAAAACACTTGTGCAAAAACAAAGCAAGGCTTTAGAGATGCCTAAACCAGTGGGTTTCATCTGTTAAAACTTGTCTGCTCCCCATGCTATGTTAGAAGTATGTGATAGATGTTTTGGCTGATGATTCTATGTCCTCAAATCTGTCCAGAGTATCACTTGTACAATGTAAATAAAGATTATTTGTCAGTGTCATGCCTATGTCAGGACAAAAATAACTAGTAAGAGCAGTAAATTTTATGGCAGTATAGTTTTTGAGCACCCCAAAGACTGATGGAAAGCATGGACTAAGCCATGAGGAAGAGCACTTAGGCAGCAGCAGTTATCTTGGCTAATTTTGTGATTGAGATGCAGGAATTGTATCTAGGATCTTTCCTGCACAAAGCATATACACTGAGATAGAGCTCTTTTTTCTTGGAAGTTTGAGATCTATCATACAGCATAGTTTTAGTACATTTTGCGATTTAGTACGTTTTTCTGTCCTCATTTTGCAAAATCAAAATTGTAGGTTGCAAGCTTGTTCTTTCCCATAAAAAATGCCCTATGCCTGTGATGGTGAACCTATGCCACGTGTGCCAAAAGTGGTGACACAGAGCCATTTCTCCAGGCATGCCAGCCATTGCCCCTTTGCTCTTCCAGGTTCCGGCACAGACATGCACGCTGGCCAGCTGGTCATGCGCGCAGGAGTGCCAGAAACCAGAAGAGCAGTTCCCCCGGTGTGCATGTGTGTGCCGGCCAGCTGGTCTTCGTGCGGGCAGGAGCACCAGAAACCAGAAGAGCAGCTCCCTGAAGCACGTGTGTGCACCAGCCAGCCGGTGTTCATGGTGCAGGAGCACTGGAAACTGGAAGAACAGCTCCCTGGAGCGCATGCGTGTGCCGACCACCTGGTCTTTGTGCACGCATGCGCGTTAGAAATCGGAAGACCAGGGGAAGCTAAGCTTCCGGTTTCCAGCACTCCTGCGCACATGCTTCGGGGAGCTGCTCTTCTGGTTTCCGAAGTTCATGCGCTCCCGTTTCAGCACTTGGTGGCCTATGCATTTAAAATTGTGTCTTTGTGTGTGTGCTTGTTTGATTTACAGAGCAAGAAAGATGATAATCTTGAGCCATTCCATTAATATTTAGTTGCATATATACTCGGATTATGTTCCATATGCTAGAATTTCAGAATTAAAAGCTCACCTTTAGGGTTGTATACAAATGAACACATTCCCATTTACAATACACCTAAAATAATTAAATACCGAAATTGTTCCAGAGTGACAAAGGTCTTAAGACCTATGAGATAGCATTAGATGATTTTGTATCTTCCAGGTCAGAATAAGTATACTGTATAGGGGAGTTTTTACCTTAGCCTCATGTCTGATATCCTATATTTTTACACAGAATTTGTAATGGGGAGAAATATATCACCTAATCCTATTCCAGTAATAAGACTACACTGAGAAACAGGAATAATAGTCTCAGCTGTTAACCCCAAAATCCTGTGTCTGCCCCCAAATTGATCATTCCCCCCCCCCCCCCATCAAATTTGTGTTGCTTGTAAACCTATGGTATTTAAGCTAGTTAAGCCATGGTCTTATAGGAATAGGCTCAAGAAAAATAGTTATTTTCAAAAATTAATGGAATTTGAAAAATATTTGATCTGGGTGATATGAATAGATTTGAATGTAAATAAATCAACGCACATAAAATGTGGAGAGTGTCTGCAAGAGGTATTTCAATATATGGAGGAACTGATACTAGTTTGGGGATTATCAATTCAACAATCGTATTATTTTTCTGCAGGACATCAGTCATACTCCAAAAGAAATATGTGCTCGGCCTCAAAGACTCTTAACACCATCTATCAAAGAAATAGAAATCATCCCAATGATGTATGTAGATCACAATTCAATTTTAATGAGAAGGAGCTTCTAAACTAGCCTTTAGATAGAAAAATGAACGAAAAGAGTTCATGAAACAGTTTTACAAAAACGTAAACAAGAGTTTAAATTATTTAATACAAACAGGACACTATGGATCTCTCACTTTACTATGTGGGATATAAATAAAGCATAGACAAGGGGCTTTCCAATTAACTGCAAATTAAAAAACACAACAAATGAAAAATACAGTTAAAAGCCAAAATAAGAAAATTTGAAGCATGAAACTAACTCAAAAAACAATTGACTAAAGAATTACAAGACACAACTGTAATTAAGCCTATTAGAAATGAATTACAGAAAAAAATAAAATTTGCCAAAGAGAAAAACTCCTGACTAAACAAATAAACCATAAAAATTATTAGCTTATCAACTTGGAAAAAACAACACAGTATCAGCAAGAAAAGGTCCAAATTGCTATATTCAAGATTGGAAATAATAGAAGAATTGACAGGTTTCTTTAAAAACTTATATTTGAAGACTAATATTGATAAAGCTGCTATGAATAAATATATTGGAAAGTTGGTTGTCAGAGAATGTAATAGAATAAATATATGCAGCTGAAGTTGAACAGTGGATTCCTTGGTACTCGAGTTTAGTTGTTTGCTTGTGGATATTTCATTATCTGACTAGATAATATTCTTTAAGATAGCTTTTTATTTGTTTGTTTGTCAAACATGTACAAGATAACAAGTATAGGTATGAACATAAACATGAACAAAGGAAGTAAATACAGATAAATGGGGACAGTAGGACAGGGATGGTAGGCATGCTGGTGGGCTTATGCACGCCCCCTTTAATGATCTCTTAAGGGTGGGGTGAGGTCCATGGTAGACAGTTTGAGATTGAAGCTATGAGGCTTATCATGTCTTTGACTGCTAATTAATGTTTATGGCTCCACTCTGCTAGTTTTTTGCCTGACTGTTTTATATAGTGGCTAACACTATATTGTAGATCAGGGATCCCCAACCTTTTCGACGCCGCGGCCCGGTTCCGGCGTCAGCTGGGCGCCGCGGCCCGGTTCCGGCGTCAGCTGGG